TACCCAATGATCGAAGGGGGTCATGTATAGATTGCAATCTAGATTCGCACGTTCTGGTTTTCCCTGCTTTGTTTGAAGTAGTGCAAGTTGCGCTTGAGGTGTGGGCACTGGTCCTAGGGCCCTCGACAAAGCCTCTTGCTGCACACGACCGATCACCACTTGCAATGCGCTGTTCGTGTAGTCCTCGGCAGGCACTGTTTCCACAAGGGCTTCTTGGCTGGATCCTGGCTGCGTGTCTCAAATGTGTTTGGCTCGAAGGCATGAAAACATAATCGAGAAAAACAGCTCCTTGCGGCTGCTAGCAGTGGTGCTAGACTGATTGGAGGATGAAGACAAGCTAGTGACAGTGCTGGGGGAAGAAGCCGAGCTGCTGGCGCTGGCAGAATCGCTTGAGCCGGAAGATGCACCACCCTGGGGCTGAAGCTCACCTGAGATGTGATGTGCGATGTCCCAGACCATGGACCATTGCACATGTATGCGTGTGCATGCAAGGAATTTAGTGTCCAAGTTACCCTCTTTGCTGGTAGCTGTTGACTGGCCCTCCTTGCTGACAAGGTAGCGTGTCAGTGGGACTTGCGCAGTCTCCCTTGGAGGTGGCTGTCTCAAATTTAAAGTCACCGGGAATCGGGGCCCTTTTGTGCACCATCGAAGCAATGTCCCGTCCTTTGGCTTGGCTTCCTCCTTGCAGCTATCTGGCCCGTCCTCCCCAAGTGCCTCCGCCGGCTCCGACTCACCCTCGGAGACCACCGGCTGCTGCGCTTGATCCTCTGAGACCTCTGGCTCATCATTCTGCGAAGCCTTTGCCTCTGGCTGCGCTTCCTTGGTGTGGATGGTGGAGATGTCGGCCCCGTCATCCTGAGAAGCCATTGCTCCCAGCTGCGACTCATCCTCCGAGATGTCTGGCTCGCCAGTCTTGACCTTCGGCCAATCCTCCTCCGACTCACCCTCAGAGACATCCATCTCATCATCCGAATTCGAAGCCATCAGCTTTGGCTGCGCTTCCTCCAACTCACCCTCAGAGACGTCCGACCCCCACTGTCCCAGAAGCAAAGTGGGCTGTGTGCCCAACAAGCTCTCCATTTCCCGGGAGTCAGGCTGCCGGTCACACTCCATTAAAGCTGCCCGTCGGCGCTTAGCACTGTCGAACACAGCACTTTCAGGCTCATCAGCCTCTGAAGCCTTCACCTCAAGATCCGACTCGCCCTCGGAGACGTCCGGCTGGTCAGCGTCCAACGCCTTCTCCTCAGCGATGTCCGGCTCATCAGCTTCTTCTACCTCTGGCTGCGCTTGCTCTGACTCATCCTCAGAGACTTCCGGCTCATCAGCTTCTTCTGAAGCCTTTGGCTGCGCCTCTGACTCATCCTCGTCCTCAGAGTCATCAGCTTCTGAAGCCTTATCCTCGTCCGGCTCACCGGCTTCTTCTGAAGCCTTCACATCTGGCTGCGCTTCCTCTGACTCATCCTCATCCTCAGAGACGTCCGGCTCATCAGCTTCTGAATGCTTCACCTTTGGCTGCTCTTCCTCTGACTCATCCTCAGAGACATCCGACTCATCAGCTTCTGAAGCCTTCACCTCTGTCTGCGCTTTATCAGAAAGGTCCGGCTCATCAGCCTTCGCCTCTGGCTGCGCTTCCTCTGACTGCACCTCCTCCGACTCATCCTCAGAGACATCCGGCTCATCAGCTTCTTCTGAAGCCTTCACCTCTGGCTGCGCTTCCTCTGACTGCACCTCCTCCGACTCATCCTCAGAGACATCCGGCTCATCAGCTTCTTCTGAAGCCTTCACCTCTGGCTGCGCTTCCTCTAACTGCACCTCCTCCGACTCATCCTCAGAGACATCCAGCTCATCAGCTTCTTCTGAAGCCTTCACCTCTGGCTGCGCTTCTGACTCATCCTCAGAGATGGCCGGCTCATCAGCTGGCTGGGCTTCCTCTGACTCATCCTCAGGGACGTCCGGCTGGTCAGCGTCCGACGCCTTCTCCTTTGGCTGCTCATCCTCAGCAACTCCCGGCTCATCAGCTTTTTCTGAAGCCTTCCCCTCTAACTGCACCTCCTCCGGCTCATCCTCAGAGACATCCGTCTCATCAGCCTGTGAATCTGGCTGCGCCTCCTCCGACTCACTTTTAGAGACTTCCGGCTCATCAGCTTCTGAAGCCTTCACCTCGAGATCTGGTTGCGCTTCCTCTGGCTCATCCTCCGAGGCATCCAGCTGGTCAGCCTCCAAAGCCTTCACCTCCTCATCGGTCTCCGACATCTCATCCACCTGCGTGTCCTGCATCATCCTCTCACCATGATGGCTCAAGTCGGCCAAAGGAACCTTCGGATGAGGCAGCCGCGCATCCACCTCTTCCTGCGCAGAGGCAGTGGACCCATCCTCGTCACTTGTGGAGCCAGCGTCTGATCCAGACTCCTGCGTGGGATGGATCCAGTGTGCAGGTGCCGAGCAGACTGTTGTGATAGAGGAAAAACCACACACGCGAAGACAGACAGACAGACAGACAGACAGACGGACGGACGGACGGACGGACGGACGGACAGACAGACAGACAGACAGACAGACAGAGAGACAGAGAGACACAGAGACACACACACACACACACGCCCCCAATTCGTGATCTAATTTCAAGCATATATATATATATATATATATTAATTGGATGCCATGCGTTGCATACATTCGTGCATGATCGATACACGTGTGCAAAGCGTGACAGGCCTGCATCTTGCCCTTGCTGTGTCCGGCCCCTGGCACCAACCCGCAGGCAGTCCTAGGTTTGGCTACAATGATGGATCGGATCCTACAAAATGGTTAGTACCCCCCCCCCTTCAAGGTCAACAAGGTTTGGGAGGGGCAAAATTTTGAGGCTCTCTGGTAGGACCCCCCAATAACTTGAGAGGAACTTGAGGGACTTGAGGGGCTTGGTGGCCTTTTGCTTGCTTTTTAAGCTTAAACCTTTTTGTTTGAAACATGTAAAGAAATCTGAGGTTTCCTGACAGGTTTGGGGTCGGTGCATATTTAATTAGGAAAGCAATCAGCCTGGTGTTTTAGGGTGGGGGGTGGCAAGGGAGTACCCTTAATCAGCGGGGTGTTTTGGGGAGGCCCCAAAAATAATGGGTAGGGTTGCGTGGCCCTTTACGTGGGAATCTGGTGTACGTGGATCGAAGGTTTTTTTTTTTTGGGGGGGGGGGGTACTGATTGTTCCCTGACATTATGTGTGACTTGCTAGCAAACAAATGTGCTGGCGCCAAGGGGCATATCAACGTCGCCCATACCAAGGTCCAAAGGCAGCGTTTCCAGCATCGATGGGTCCCTGAGCAGGTGTCAAACCCATGGCCAAAGTACTGAATATTCCGAACCCAATCATGAAGGGCCGTTTAAATTGATATGGAAATTGCCATATGCAATCAATGAGTCGGAGTCTGATCGACGGAGCTTTGTCTTGAAATAGCACTTCCACTAGATGAACGGCTTCTCCTCGCACCAGCCCTGGATTGTCTGATGAACACGCCATGCATCCTGTTCGCCTGGGGATCAGCATTTGTCCCTCACTCAAAGAAATGCCTATTTGCATCATGAAGACAACATGCATGGCAAGCCTGCACTGTGATCCATTCATCTTGTTCACCGGCCTCCATAGTTTGGCCTCAGAGTTTGGATAGTTGCATGCTCGCCTATGCATGTCCCTGGCACACAACGGTGCACCATAAATTGACAGCAAAGAGGCACAGCTTTGCCTCCACAACCAACTTTGTGACGACTTTGCGGCATTCATTTTCTCGGGGAACCCTTGGAAGATTTGCTTCCTGGAGGGCCAAGATCGCCCACTTGTTTTCTTTTCTTCTGATATCACCGCCACATACGAGTTGGTTGGAGTCCATGATCTCTTTCCGGGAAGGCATATGTTTGCGGCACTTCCGCAATAGCTTCCTCAGCATGAATTGTCATGTTTTTGCAACCATTGAATTTGCAGTCTGGACACACGCCGTTATCCTTCAGCTTGCCAATGCGTGGGCGCGGCATTGCCCGGTGGGGGTGGTCAAATCAGAAAGTAAGTGTTGATTTTGAAGGGGGCTACCCCGTTGCAGTGCATGATTGACTCATGCCTGTGACATGCAACCCCGCCATACCACCGAGCCCAGGTGGTGTCTGCGCTGGCCGGGCGGCTGCTGTGCTGCCTCCCCCCCCCCTCATCTGCACCCACCCCTGGAGGTACCAATTGAGGGCACTTTTTGAGTTAGGGTCAAACGAGGGCACTTAGCATAAAAGTGTCGTCCATTCGTACCAACACCTAAGTGCCTTCAAATGGAAGGCACTTGGAGGGTGCTGGTATCAACAGTTTCATAGTGAGTCAATGTTTCTATGAGCTTGCATTTCATCTATACTACCGTTTGGGTTTCGAACTCACCGAGTCGGGAATCAGTAAGAAAACCCGCGAAATTGGTTTAGCTCAGGTTTTGGTGTTTAAACTGTTCAGGTCCGTTGAGTCAATGTTTGGTGATATTCTTCTGACTAAAATGATAGAACACCTAAGTCCTAGGTTGGGGTTGAATGCCGTCTCTCGAGGACACCCTCTTCAGGTTCTTGGCAAGGGACACCCAACGGAAAACCGTGCAGTTGGGGCCCAAATCCCTATCTGGGCATGTCTTTTTGGAGGTTTCAAGGGGACATCAAAAGGAAAACCCACCCATATTGGATGTTCGGGACCATGTTTTACACATTGTCACCAAATGTTGAATTTGGAGATGTAAATGACATGGATTCGAGCATATTGATTGCAGTGGTGTCTATGTTATACACGTCCAAACTCGATCATTGATGAAGTGCGTGGAATCCACTTGTTTGGGAGAACAAAGTAAACCTACCAAATCCAAGGATTGATGAATCACCAGATCTGAAAGATGAACAAGATCAACTGTCAAGCATCAATTTTAATGTTTGATACGCAAACCTAGTATTTGACACTTGCCACATTTAATATATCTCCTCTTGTTCCCCGGCAGGAGGGGCATTACGTGGTCTTCTTCGCGCCGGGCTACTTCAAGGAGCTTGTTTTTTTCAACGCGGACCTCGGACCTCGGTCTCGCAAGCTTCAGACCTGCTTATTCTGTGTTGTTCCTTGGTTTTGGGAGGGTGTTCCTTCAAAAGTTACCAAGAAAGAGGGGGTTCCTTGTCCGCCGTGCACAGCACTGGGGGTTCTGGTTCAGGCAAACTGGATTCAGGCAGCGGGTATCGTTGTTTTCCCCGGGCAAAGTATGCTGCATATGCTTGCCATTCTAAGCGGGCCTCGGGGCCAGGCCCACGAGTTCGTGCACAAGCGGCCGGAGTGTCAACCTTTAGAGACTGACCTGCTGATCATGCGCGTGGCCATGGAGTATGTCATGAAGCAGGCGGATCTGGATCTTTGCATTTTGCCAAGGGATGTTAGGACTGAAAACCTGTTTGCCAACTAATGGATTTGCCGTATTAAACCACTAAAACATTTCAACTTTTAGCAGGGGAGCAGAAAGCAACCGAGTTTACTGCATCGCGCTTTTAGTTGGCGGATTCTAAAGCTGTAAATATAGGATGCTTGGATCCACTGGATTTGGGACCACTCGAATGGCAGTATTTGCAGTTGAGGTCCACTACATTTGTGCTAGAGGCTAAATTTGAAATAGTCGGGAAACCGCGCTCTGGCAGTGGGGCCCTTTGTCGACGTCCGCTTTCAGGCGTGTTGTTGGGCCCAGCATCAACCCCATTTTTGTAAACCCTTCATCCAGTGAAAAATAGATGCCCTGACAGGGGCGTTCGCTCATTTCGCTTCGTGTGGCTCTCACTTGGCGCAAGGTAAGTCGGTGGGTCCATCGGTTTGGTATCCAAATGCAAGACTTCAGGTGGATGGCAACCAGTGATTCCCTGCTTGTCAACCTTTTTCCGGAAAAGTGCCTTTTTCCACAAATCCACTGGTCGAGGTGGATGACAACTCATACAAGAAGCAGAAGATGTGCTACTCGATCAAGCTGAGCCTTGGCTAGGTACCAGGAAAGCCTGTCAGTCATATGAGGCAACCTCAAGATGATCATATCCCACTTTCCTTAAGGCAAGGCGTTTCATTCCAGGCTGGTTGGTTGCTTCTTTCCTAAAGGAAAGCGATAGCGGGGCATCAAAATATATTCATACTGATTCACAGCAGGGCAAACTCGCAAGGGGAGTCACCGAAGATAACTCGTGACAAAGTTTTAGGAGCCATGAACTGATCTTCCTAGGCTCCCTTTGCGAGCTGTTGGTGTTTGTGTCAACATTCATCTCAAATCTGGGGACTCTCAAGAAATATGGTTTCCCTCTTTTGTGAAATGAATCTGGGACCCTCAGAAGAGACACACCAGGTGGCTTTCAATCAGTATTGCATCCGAGGATGAGAGCCAAAGAATTAGACTAGGGGTGGCTTTAAACCCTCCCTCAAAGCTGCTCCGAACTTATTTCCGGCGGCTTGGGCCAAACGCCGGCCAACTTCTGGCTACCAACTGCCCTTCAATGCCTGAGTTAGGCTTTAGTCACTTAAGACCATGTTAGTGGAATAGAAAGTTGAGACTTACTTTGGCCATCTCAGCAAGTGAGGCTAGTTGCTTGGATCTTCGCCTTTTTGGGAGCATGTGTGTGGTGTCCACTAAAGTTAGCAACTTGTTGCAAGTTAAAGCCGTTTGCAGAGGGGCAGTAGCCACCAAGTAACTGCGTCAACGTTTGGTAAGATGAGCATTTTCGGCCTTGAGCAAAGAGATGAGCAAGGAACAGATTTCAACCCGAGGGTTGAACGCCGGAAGTATGTTGGACTATTTCAGGGAGTGTCAGCTCACTCAGAGGGTATTTGTTGAGCACGGATGGTTTCCTTTTGAAACTAGAGTTGGGCTAGGCTGCAACAATGTTATCAAAAAAACTAGGGCCCGGGCCGCTAAGGTAAACCACCCCAGGTTAGTCAATCCTGGCAAGTGGTAGTTGTTTCCCTGCGGTGCATATGGATTGCGGAGTGCCACCTCCACTTTGAACAGTCCACACTAGCACGGTGTTTGTATGTCTTTGTCCAAGATAGGAGTCATTACCCCGGCAGTTTTGGCTTCCTGTTTGGACAAGTTGTTCAAGCATATGGCATGCTTTGCGTGCAAAATCAGCTTTAACTGCTTGGCTTCGTTGTCTAACCAGCGGGGCTTCTCCTCCAGTGTAGGTTACCTTTTGGCAGTCTTTTGCACTTTCTGTGACTCCGCTGGCCTTCTTCCCTGCTGGCCTTCTTCCCTGCACCAGGCAACCATTCACTACAGTATCTGGTTGGTTTGGTTGATTGGGTTGGGTTGGTTGGGTTGGTTGGGTCGGGTGGTTGGTTGCTTGCTTGCTTTCTTGCGTGCGTGCGTGCGTTGGTTGGCCGTGGTTGGATGGTTGGATGGTTGGGTGGGGTGGTTGGGAAGTTTTGATGGTTGGGTAGTTTCGATGGTTGGATGGTCGATGCGTTGGTTGGTGGGTGGGTGGGTT